TGAACCCCAGCAGCGAGGGGCTGAAGGACCGGGCGGCGACCAGCCCCGCCCTCTTCAACCGCTGCGTCCTCAACTGGTTCGGCGACTGGACCAGTGAGGCACGGTTCCAGGTGGGCTACGAGTTCACCAGCAAGCTGGACCTGGACAATGCGAAGTACAGTCCGCCGGCGGTCTTTCCCGCCGCCTTTCCCAACTTTACGCCCACGCCGAGGCACCGGGAGGCAATTGTCAACAGCTTCGTCTACATTCACCAGACGCTGCACCATGCGAATGAGCGGCTGCTCCGTCGCGGGGGCCGCCTGACGACGATCACCCCCCGGCACTACCTCGACTTTATCAACCACTACGTGAAGCTGTACTACGAGAAGTGCTCCGAGCTGGAGGAGGAGCAGCTCCACCTGAACGTCGGCCTGACCAAGATTCGCGAGACGGTGGAGCAGGTGGAGGAGCTGCAGAAGAGTCTGGCCAGCAAGTCGAACGAGCTGGAGGCGAAGAACCAGGCGGCCAATGCGAAGCTCAAGGAGATGCTCAAGGACCAGCAGGAGGCGGAGAAGGAGAAGGTGAAGAGCCAGGAGCTGCAGGGCATCCTCCGCCGGCAGGAGGTCTCCATCAAGGAGAAGACCGAGGCGGTGATGGCCGACCTGGCGCAGGTGAAACCCGCCGTGGAGGACGCTAGACAGGGTAAGTGCTTGCTGGTGGTTGCTGCTAGTTGCTTTTGCTTATTATCGGGAGAGGGGTGATGGACTTTGGAAGTTGTGCGATATTTGGAAATACCGGGGGTTGCCGCTTATGATTTTGACTTGCTTTGCTCACGCGACTTATGTTAACGTTTTGTTTTTGTTTTGTTTTTTTCTTTTTATTTTTGCATCCGTTTTTGGTTCATCTTTCTTGTTCGTCATTTTCTCCTCATTTTCATTTTGACCTCCTCTTCGTTTTGTGGCGCCTTTTATCCTCTTTTTCCCCCAATATATCGTGCCTCTCCTCAGCCGTCTCCTCGATCAAGAAGCAAAACCTGGTGGAGGTGAAGTCGATGACGAATCCTCCGCCGGCGGTGAAGCTGGCGATGGAGTCGATCTGTCTGCTGCTGGGCGACGAGACCACCGAGTGGAAGGTCATTCGCTCCATTCTCATGCGCGAGAACTTCATCAGCACCATTGTCAACTTTCAGACTGACAATATTAAGTAAGTGATCCGCCGACTAACTTTTCATTTTCCTTCCTCTCCCTCTTCAGCCGTGNGGTGAAGTCGATGACGAATCCTCCGCCGGCGGTGAAGCTGGCGATGGAGTCGATCTGTCTGCTGCTGGGCGACGAGACCACCGAGTGGAAGGTCATTCGCTCCATTCTCATGCGCGAAAACTTCATCAGCACCATTGTCAACTTTCAGACTGACAATATTAAGTAAGTGATCCGCCGACTAACTTTTCATTTTTTCCTTCCTCTCCCTCTTCAGCCGTTCAAGCCATCAAGCGGCAGCACCTGGTGGAGATTCGCACCATGGCCAATCCGCCGGCGATTGTCAAGTCGGCGCTGGAGTCGATCTGCCTGCTGCTCGGCTACGAGCAGATCAGCGACTGGAAGGTCATTCGGGGCATCATCATACGGGAGAACTTTATCCCCAACGTGATCAGCTTTGACTCGGATGACATTTCGTAAGGGCTTCGCTTGGATTCAAGAAGACGCCATCAACTGTGGAAGACTTGGACGACTGGCTTTTTATTTATCATTATCATCATCAAGAACAACAACAAAAATAGTTTTATCCCTTACTAACCCTTTTCCTTTTCCTTTCTCACCCATTCAGCGAAGACATCCGCCAGAAGATGATCTCCAAGTACCTGAACAACCCTGACTACAACTTTGAGAAGATCAACCGCGCCTCGCTGGCCTGCGGCCCGCTGGTGAAGTGGGCCATTGCGCAGGTGAACTACGCCGACATGCTGAAGCGCATTGAGCCACTGCGCAATGAGCTGCTGTCGCTGCAGACGGAGGCGCAGGCGAACAAGAGCCGCGCCGAGGAGACTGACCGGGCGGTGGCCCACCTGGAGCAGTCCATTGCCGCGTACAAGGAGGAGTACGCCAACCTGGTGTCGCAGTGCCAAGCGATCAAGACCGACCTCGCCTCGGTCCAGTCCAAGGTCGACCGGTCCATTGCCCTGCTGGCCAGTCTCAGCAGCGAGAAGGAGCGCTGGGAGCACAGCTCGGAGACCTTCAAGAGTCAGATGCAGACGATTGCCGGCGACTGCGTCCTCTCGGCGGCCTTCCTCGCCTACGCCGGCTACTTTGACCAGCAGTACCGGTGAGTAGTGGACTTGAAACTTTTGTGGACTGGGCTTTTTAACTCTCATTTCCTCTTTTCTCCCCCACCCAGTCAATCGCTCTTCAACTCCTGGTCGACGCACCTGAACGTCGTCAACATTCAGTTCCGCGCCGACCTCGCCCTCACCGAGTACCTGAGCACGGCCGACGAGCGGCTGCGCTGGCAAGCCAATTCGCTGCCATCGGACGACCTCTGCACGGAAAATGCCATCATGCTGAAGCGCTTCAACCGCTTCCCGCTGATCATCGACCCCTCCGGACAGGCCACCCGCTATCTGCTGAGCGAGTACGAGCAGAAACGGATCACGAAGACCAGCTTCCTCGACGACTCCTTCCGGAAGAACCTCGAGTCGGCGCTGCGCTTCGGCAACCCGCTGCTGGTGCAGGACGTGGAGAACTACGACCCCATACTGAACCCGGTGCTCAATCGAGAGGTGCGCAAGACGGGCGGCCGCGTGCTGATCACCCTGGGCGACCAGGACATTGACCTCTCCCCGTCCTTCTGCATCTTCCTCTCGACGCGCGACCCGACGGTGGAGTTTCCGCCGGACATCTGCTCCCGGGTGACCTTCGTCAACTTTACCGTCACGCGAAGTAGCCTCCAGGCCCAATGTCTCAACCAGGTGCTCAAGTGCGAGCGGCCGGACATTGACGAGAAGCGCGGCGACCTGCTCAAGCTGCAGGGCGAATTTCACGTGAAGCTGCGCAAGCTGGAGAAGTCGCTGCTGCAGGCGCTCAATGACGTGAAGGGCCGCATCCTCGACGACGACTCCATCATCAGCACGCTGGAGAAGCTGAAGCACGAGGCGGGGGAGATCTCGAAGAAGGTCGAGGAGACGGACAAGGTCATTGCGGAGGTGGACGCCGTCAGCGGGCAGTACCTGCCGCTGGCGCAGGCCTGCAGCAGCATCTACTTCACCCTGGAGGGCCTCAATCTGGTGCACTTTCTCTACCAGTACTCGCTGCAGTTCTTCCTCGACATCTTCACGGACGTGCTGGCCAATGCCAATGCCGGTGGGCACGGTGCGACGGACTATGCGGCGAGGCTGGCGGCCATCACGCGGAAGCTCTTTGAGGTGGTGTATGTCCGTGTGACGCGGGGCATGCTCCACCACGACTGGCTGGTCTTTGCGCTGCTGCTCTGCAAGATTTACATTCGCGGGTTTACGAGGTAGGGCTTTGGTTTGGAAAGGTTTTATCATAACTTTAACTCCTTTTCCTTTCATCCCATTCAGTGAGAAGCACTTTGAGAACGAGTTTGACCACCTGATGCGCGGCCGTGAGAGTATTCTTCACCATGCGGCCGCTGGAGGTGGTAGTGGCAGCGGTGGAGGCCACTCTACCGTTTCCATTGCCGGCGTCACCGAGGACCGCCTGGAGGCGGCGACGGCGCTCTCCAAGGCGCTGCCCTCCTTTCGCTCGCTGCAGGCGGCCATTGATGGGCTGGAGGGGGAGGCGACCTTTCACGAGTGGCTGCACTCGACGCTGCCGGAGAATGCCGTGCCCAAGCTGTGGACGGCCGAGGAAGAAGGAGGTGGAAATGAGGAGCTGACCGCCGTCGGGCGAACGATGAACGAGCTGCTGGTCATTCACGCCTTCCGCCCGGACCGGGTGGTGGCGATGGTGGGCCGCGTCGTGGACGCCGTCTTCGGCGCCCAGTTCCTCCACATGGTCGCCACGGAGTACGACCTGGGCCACGCCGTGGAGCGGCTCATANAAGGAGGTGGAAATGAGGAGCTGACCGCCGTCGGGCGAACGATGAACGAGCTGCTGGTCATTCACGCCTTCCGCCCGGACCGGGTGGTGGCGATGGTGGGCCGCGTCGTCGATGCCGTCTTTGGCGCCCAGTTCCTTCACATGGTCGCCACGGAGTACGACCTGGGCCATGCCGTGGAGCGGCTGATCAAGGCGAACACGCCCATTCTCATGTGCTCCGTGCCGGGCTACGATGCGAGCGGCCGCGTGGACGACCTCGCCGCGGAGCTGAACCGCTCCATCACCTCCATTGCCATTGGCAGCGCCGAGGGCTTCAGCCAGGCGGACAAGGCGATCAACGCGGCGGCCAAGTCGGGCAAGTGGGTGATGCTGAAGAACGTCCACCTCGCCCCCCAGTGGCTGGTGCAGCTGGAGAAGAAGCTGCACGCGCAGACGCCCAACCCTAGCTTCAGGCTGTTCCTCACGCTGGAGATTCATCCCAAGGTAAAAAGAGTGGTTGGAAACTTTTTGAAAAGTTCGGCTCTTAACTTGGGAAAATTCTTCACTTTTTTGCAGATTCCCGTGAACCTCCTGCGCGCCGGCCGGATCTTCGTCTTCGAGCCGCCGCCGGGCATTCGCGCCAACCTCCTGCGCACCTTCAGCACCATTCCCGCGGCGAGGATGATGAAGGCGCCCAATGAGCGGTCGCGCCTCTACTTCCTCGTCAGCTGGTTCCACGCCATCGTCCAGGAGCGGCTGCGCTACGCGCCGCTCGGCTGGTCGAAGCGCTACGAGTTCAACGAGTCCGACCTGAAGGTGGCCTTCGACACGCTGGACACCTGGATCGACGCCGTCTCCCTGGGCCGGACGAACCTCCCTCCGGAGAAGGTGCCCTTTGACGCCATCTGCACCCTTTTTGGCCAGTGCATCTACGGCGGCAAGATTGACAACGACTTTGACCAGCGCCTNACCAGCTTCCTCCAGAAGCTCTTCACGCCGAAGAGCTTCGAGGCGGAGTTTGTGCTCGCCAGCGAACCGGACCCCGAGCAGCAGCAGGGCAGCGAGCACCTGATCACCATTCCCGAGGGCATCATTCGCCGGGACGAGTTTCTCAGCTGGGTGGAGTCGCTCAGCGACCGACAGACGCCCAGCTGGCTTGGGCTGCCCAACAAGGCGGAGCGGGTGCTANGCGGCAAGATTGACAACGACTTTGACCAGCGCCTGCTGACCAGCTTCCTCCAGAAGCTCTTCACGCCCAAAAGCTTCGAGGCGGAGTTTGTGCTCGCCAGCGAACCGGACCCCGAGCAGCAGCAGGGCAGCGAGCACCTGATCACCATTCCCGAGGGCATCATTCGCCGGGACGAGTTTCTCAGCTGGGTGGAGTCGCTCAGCGACCGACAGACGCCCAGCTGGCTTGGGCTGCCCAACAAGGCGGAGCGGGTGCTACTGACCAACCACGGCGTCGACCTGGTGGGCAAGCTGCTCAAGCTGCAGCTGCTCGAGGACGACGACGACATTGTGGTGGTCAGCGGGGAAGGAGGAGGAGGAGATGAGAGCGCGCCCAGCAGCCTCACCACCACCGCCGCCGGAAAGACCGTCGACGCCGACGGCCGACCGGGGTGGATGCGCACGCTGCTGCACTCGACGGCCAGCTGNGAGGGAGGAGGTGATGAGAGCGCGCCCAGCAGCCTCACCACCCCCGGAAAGATCGACGCCGACGGCCGACCGGGGTGGATGCGCACGCTGCTGCACTCGACGGCCAGCTGGCTGAAGCTGCTGCCCGCCAGCCTGCCCACCATGCGCCGCACCTCGGAGAACATCAAGGAGCCCCTGTACCGGTACTTTGAGCGCGAGGTGAACATCGCCGCTCGCCTCCTGGGCGTCCTCCGCGCCGACCTCACCGACGTGATGGCCATCTGCCGGGCGGAGAAGAAGCAGACGAACTACCACCGGGAGATCACCGAGTGCCTGGCGAAGGGCATGATTCCCGGGCACTGGCGGTCGGCGTACAAGTGCCCGGAGAGCTGCACCGTCATCCAGTGGGTCACCGACTTTGCCGAGCGGCTGAGGCAGATGGCGCGCATCAGCGCCTCGCCCACCGCCGCCCTCAAGACGCTCACCATCTGGCTGGGCGGCCTCTTCAACCCCGAGGCGTACATCACCGCGACGAGGCAGTTTGTGGCGCAGGCCAACGGCTGGTCGCTGGAGGAGCTGCAGCTGCAGATTATCATCAATGATGCGGCTGATGCTTCGGCGGGAGGTGGAGCCGGTGGTGCTGCTGCTGCAGTCGCCGACAGCGGCTCCTTTGGCGTCTCCGGGCTGACGCTGCAGGGGGCCGAGGTGAGGGCGAACCAGCTGCGCATCACCTCGAAGATCTTCACCCGCCTGGCGCTGACCTGCTTCAAGTGGATTCGCGTGCCGCTGGAGGA